ATGTCTGACTGATGTCCATGGGGAGCGGGCCTAAGCCAGCAGTCAGATATCCTTAGTGCTGCCGCTGAGGCGCGAGAGGCTCCTGCCACTGTGGTTGCACTCACCAGCCATGAACCTGGCTTCTGGCTGCGCAGCGCTCCCCCTGTGGGAGTGCACTGACCACTAGGGGGCAGCTCCTGCATTGAGTATCTGCCCCCTGGTGGTCAGTGCGTGTCACAGCGACTGGTCGTTCAGCCGTTCGGTCGATTTGCATATTAGCCTCTTATTATATAGGATGGGAATCTGTTCCCTTTCTTCTTTAAGAGCACCTCAGGTGATTTGGTTGATCATCATACATCTCAGGTGAGGAGACTGAGCCCAGAGAGTTTGGGTGCAGGGTTTGCTCAGGGCTCCTTCCTGAGAGTTAATAATCTCCTCTCTTTTCCATCTTCCTGTCCTGGCTTGGCCACTGACCCTCAGAACCAGTTTGTCCTGCACAATTCTTGCCTTCTGCCTGGAACCAACCACAAGCCATAAACCAGGCGCCCCCTCTGTGGCTCTGGGTGGGAGGGAGAAGCCTCACGTGCTAGCCACCATCCCCTCCCGTCCTCCCGAGGGTGATCTATGGCTTGTCAGAGGTGTGGGTTCTCGCCACTTGCTGAATAAAAAGCTTCTTTGTTCTTGGGAGTGAAAATAACCCTAAGATAAATGCTGGGGCTGGAAGAGCTCAGGGATGTTGGGCTCCAGCTGCCCCAATGCTCTTCCCTGCAGCAGAAGGTCTGAGGTTGGGGGAGACAGGAGCAGGTTTCAGAGAGAAGATTATGGCCACAAGTCCTCAGGGGATTGTGAGCTGTGGCCCTTGGAAGATAGCCATGAGCATTTCTCAAATGCCAGCCAGCTCCCGATACCTGCCTGAAACCTACTTCCATGGCCAGTAACTCACGGAAACTTCCTGTCGCTCGTCACTTATTGGTTATGACACAACCAACTCCCCATAACCTCTTCTTATTCCTCCTCACCTGAAGGCCGTCCTCAGCACCTCTACAAAAACTCCCTGTTGTCTTCCCATCCCCCTCCCTTTCTACTTGCACCACGGAGCCTGCATTTCATTTCTCTGGCTGTTTTGGAGAAAGGGCGTGACCCAGCTCTGCACCTGGCTGTTGCAAACCCCATAAAATTCAGGGTATGACTCTTCCATGGACCATAACCTCCTCCCTTCTCTAATCCAGCTCAGGCAGGACTGAGTTGGAGGATTCGAGAGCTGCCAGGAGAGGAGAGAGGGAGGGGGAGGGTTGCTTCAGGTTGTTAGTAGTTTCAAAAGAAAGCCACAGGCAAGGTTTGAGGCTATTTTTCACCCTCATTCCTAAGATTTAACCCGGTAACTTTGGGAGGTGGTCTAAGACCTTCCAAAAACCACAGAGGGACAGAAACCCACAAGGGACAAGCAAGGGTGAGAATAGCATCAGAGTCCTCTAGGGAAGTCAGGGGCTGTGTTCCTCCTACCCAAACCCCAGTCCTGGCTTAGAATGGAGGAACTTGGAGGCCTAAAGTCAGAGCCGCAGAAAGGGCTTAATAGAAATCTTCATAGGCCACGACCCAGTCTCTCCCTCTTGATAGCATGGCTTGTGTGGGTGAGGCCTGATGGGAGGGGGTAGGAGAGGGTTGAAAATGGAGGCACAGAGAGATCCAGGACCACATAGCCAGCACGGGGATGAAGCAGCCTCTCTCCTGGTGCCTGAGCTTCTGTTTGTTCTGTGGAGCCTGATGGAGGGGGATGTTTGAGGAACAGGCTTTGAACTGCCTGGCCTTAAGGACAAGCAGTCCAAGGTGACAAGGAGCGCTCTCCCAGCCCTCTCCTACCTCCCCACAGTGGGGCTTTCCCAGTGCCTCAGGCAGAAAGTGCCCATTTGACCCTCTGTCCACAACCCCCACCCCAACACTTGATCAGCTTTGCTTCTCTTTGGCTCTATGAGTCTGGACTGGACAAGGTTTAGGATGAATCCTGGTTCTGGGTGTGTGTGGAAGAAGAAAAAGGGGTGGAGATGGGAAGGCTCACTTACTGAGTCCTATGTGCCAGACCCTCGGGTAGACACCTCGCCTATGCAATCTTATGTAAGGCTCACACCAGCAGTTCCAGTAGATAGCATGGCTGCCATTTCACGGAGTCTTCACGAGGTCCAGTGGCGACTTGCCCAAGGTCACGTGGATGGAAGACTGTGGATGGGGGCCTGCGGTTGCAGCTGTGTCTGGCTGCACACATCTGATGCTTTGCCTTCATAAGCAGGCTGACCCAGTGTGTGCTGGGTGCTGCTGGCTCAGTGCACAAAGACTGGGACGTCAGTGAGAGCTTCAGTCCCGAGGTAACCTCTGGGCAGGGTGTTGGGAGAGCACCGAGTTTTGCCGATGGACCTTAACAAGCCAATCAAAGTATTCCTAGAGGCACCAGTCTAATACCCCAGAGATTCTGGGGGGTCGGGCGGCCCAACCATGACCTCTGCCACCTGCTCCCAGGCAGGGATTTCTCCTGGCACCTTGCTGATTCTTGATGCCCCCTCCCCCCCTCCTCCCCCCCCCCCCCCCCCGCCCCTGGCCTGGCTGGTGAAGAGCTGGCTTTGTGCTCAGTTGCTCAATAATCTGTGAAGAAATCAATCCAACTCTTGCCCTGGATTCAACCAGGACTCACCAGCATGGGTTTTAATGACATTGTGTGATTTGTCCATGCTGGGCAGAGGCGAGGGGGTAGGCTGGGAGCTTCAAGTTAAACTTTTCTAGACTAATAACTATGCCTCTCATTACAACTCCCTGCCCTTGCCTTCCCTGCCGGCCCCTCAGGACGCCCCCCCCCCCCCCGCCCCCCCCCTCCCATTGGCTTTCCTCTCACTCAGGCTGACATCACGCTCACATTTTCCAAAAATTCCCCAAATTACCCACAGTCTTCTTAGCTCCTGCTGTCGTCTGGAATTACACATTATGGACGCTGCCCCCGCCCCCCCCCCCGTCATTCTCCCCTCCCCCCTGAGCATAAGGACTTCCCAGCTCTGGCTCCTGGCCACCCTGGGTCCCCAGCTCAGCTTGGCTTGGCAGTGAGGCAGCAAGTGGGGTCTGGGCCACTCGGGAGCACTTCCCCTCACCAGGTCCGGGGGAAGGGACTGCTGGAAGGACGTTTGGCGATGGCTGTGTGTGTGTGTGTGTGTGTGTGTGTGTGTGTGTGTGTGTGTGTGAAGGGGCAAGCTAACTGAAAAAAACCCACACAAAAAACCATTATGGGGGGAGGGCTGGGCCTTTCTGAAGCTCTGGCAGATGGGATTGGAAGGCACATCGTTCAGTGGGAAAAGGCAGGGTTTGGAGACAGAAGACCTGAGCCTGAGTCCTGGTTCTGCCACTCATGGGCGCTCTGCTCTCACACAGGTCAGGGGGCCTCCTCGCCTCAGCGTTCACCTCTGTAACCTGGGACTTTGTGCATTTTCCGAATAAGGCTGAGGCACTATTTCCATCCCCAATGCTCTTCCGGAACCTTGCCACTTCCCATGGGGAGGCAGAGTCTATGTCCCTTCGCCTTGAACCTGGGCAACAAAGTGACTGTCTCAACAAACCGAATGTGTCAGAAGTGACATGTGGACTTCCTACCAGGGGTGGGCAAACTTTTTGACTCGAGGGCCACAATGGGTTCTTCAACTGGACCGGAACAAAAGCATGGATGGAGTGTTTGTGTGAACTCATATAAATTCAAAGTAAACATCACTACATAAAAGGGTACGGTCTTTTTTTTTTTTAGTTTTATTCATTTCAAATGGGCCGGATCTGGCCCGCGGGCCGTAGTTTGCCCACGGCTGTCCTAGGCTGTCATAACAAGTATGGCTTCCACTGGCTGGCATTTCTCTCTCTCTCTCTTCCCCGGCCCCCTGCACACACACATTGGAGCTCAGCCACTAAGCTGTGAGGAAGCCCAGGGCAGGGGGCTGGGCATGTGTAAGGTTGTGGCCGGGAATCCCAGCTGAGGTGTCAGAGGACAGCCAGCATCAGGGCCCGACCGATGAGTGAGAACCCGCAGTTGATTCAGGCCCCTGGTCTCCAAGCTGCCGCAGCTGCCGGACACAGACGAGAGGAAGGGCTTCCCCACTGAGCCCTGCCCATACTGCAGGTTTGTGAGCGAGAGAAATGTTCTTGTTTTAAGTCACTAAGTTTTGGGGAGGTTGTGACACAGCACTAGATGTCTGCAACAGGATCATAATAGTAACATTCGCCTTATAAAAATTGTGATGGTTAAATGAAGAGATCCCGGAGGCAGAGCCTTATGGAGCCTGTATACATACAACACATTGTCATCATCAGTGCAATCAAAGAACCCTAGTGTGTGTGTGTTCATGTCATCATGTGTACGTCTACAAGATGGCAAGAGCGGGGTTGTTAGATGGTTCTGCAAATCACTTCTTAATCCTTACGCTTCCATGCACTATAACTCCCTTCCTCCTCACACCCAGCCCAGGCAGGACGGAATTGGTTGTGGTAAAGATTACAAAAGGTAGATATTATTATTTTCACCAATTTGGAAATGGGCAAATGGAGACACGGCTAGTTTAAATTCAGGTGCAACTGGAATTTGAATCCTGCTCTGGCTTACTACAACGTTTTTACTCCCCACTCCCTAGGAGCTAGAGCTGGGGCGGTCACCTAAAGAAATGGGGACGCTGGGATGTTTCAACAGTCCTGCTTGGGAAAACCTTCCTGCTTGCCTTATTTAATTTTATCACAACAGACATGTGTTTAGCACCTGTACTGAGACAGCGTGTTAGGCAAACCCCGGATGCACAAGACCATGACCTTCTTTGAGGAGCTTGTGGTCTCTGAGGGAAACAGATACTCCTTGTTATGTAACCTTGGGCCCGCTACTCACCACCTCTCAGTCTCAGTTTTGTCATCTGTAAACTGGGAGTGATTATAGAACCCATCTCATAAGGTTATTGTGAGAATTATAGAATGTATCATTTGACCTAAGGCATCATATCCATAGAAAGCACTCAATAACTACTAGTTTTTTATAAGTATACAAAGAAAAGTTTACAATATCATGTGATCTAAGCCAAAATAGAGGGGGACATACATGGCTATGGAGGAGAGAGGAGTAAGTAATTAGTTCCTCCTGGGGGTGGGGGTGGTAGCAGAGAGGAGCTGACTGGTACCCTGGGACTTCAGAGGCAGGTAGAAGTAGCAGGTGGTCTATGGAAGGACAGTGTTTGGTGTGTCTGGGAAACAGAGCAGCCGCAGGCACTGAAGTTGAGGGTCCTGGGGGAGAAAGAATTGAGCAGGTTGGGAAGGGCTCTGTTGCCAGTGCTGGTCACAGTGTCCCCGGACTCAGGCAAGCGTCTCCGCTCCCAGGCTTAGAGATGAGGCTGTCAGGTGCAAATACCCAGGAGGAGGACTCCAGGCTTCAAGGTACAAAAGTCCCGAAGGCGGAAAGATTGGGAAGAGTGAAAGTCCGGGGTCCCCAGCCCTGGGGCAGAGGGCTCAGAAAGGGAGGCTGGTGTTTCAAGGAGATACTTTGCCTCTCAAAAATCTGCTCAGGGCAAGCCCTGCTGAGTCTCAGCTAAACCGGGCCAACAGAATCTGTTCTTGCCAACAAACCACCAAGCCCTCTTGCCCAGAAATGTCATCGCAGATCAGTGGATGGCGACGCGGGAGAAATTCACCGCAGGAGGCCCAAGGCCCCGAGGGTCAACGAGGGGCTTCCTAGCTGGTACATCTGGCCGCAGAGAGAAGCCTCCGTAGGAGCCCCGGGCCTGGGCTCTGTGTGTACGGAGAACAGCTGCTTCGGTTTAAATATTAATAATGCAAAATGAAATATGTGTGGTGCCCAGCGCACCAGAGCCCAGCCAGTGTGTGTTGCATCTAATGTCCTCCGCGCTCGGGTCTGGAAAAATGTGGTCAGTGAATTTAATATACTTTTTGGCAAAGGGAAAACGACAGTTAACTTCTCTCCGGAGCCTCGCTAAAGTGGCTTTTCTCCCTGGAAAGCAGAGAAGAGAGAGTGGTTTCTCCGGGCATGCCAGCAGGCCTGCTGCCCGAATCCTGTCAGAGCCCCTCTGCTCTGCCCACCTTGACACTTGCAGAGGATTCTGGGGGCTACAGAGCATCCCACTGCGGGGAATAGAGAGGTGACCGGTCTCCTTCAAGATCCAGTGGGGCCTGGGTGCGGCTGAAACCCTAGTTCCTGCCGGCTAGGGCTCCTCCCTCCAGGATGCTCTCTCCCCATTTCATGCCCCTTTTGGACCCCCCCCCCACACACACACACACATACACACACATACTGTTCACCAGCGGAGCTCACCATGAGAATGGCGGTGCCACAGGGCTCTCACAGGCCCCTGCGGTTGACAACCACCCAAGGACCCAAGGGCCAGTGCTTCTTCCCTGCCCCCAGTTCCTCTGCATTTTTAGTCCCGGGGAGGTTCTGACAAGGCCAGTATTAAGAAGGGTTTCCCCTCCACTGCCTCCCGGTATCAGCCATCACCAGAGCCTCTGTGTGCCTGTCCCCCTCTCCACCCTCTCAGGCCCTGGCTTATCTCTTGCCAAATGCCACAGCTTTCAATTGGCCTCTTGAAAAGTTAATAAATGCTCGGTGACATCACAACCCCGGAGCCGGGGAGCAAGAAAGATTCAGAGGCCAGTGTTGCTGAGGAGAAGTCAGAGGCTCTGGGTTTGCCCAACAAAGGCGCCCGCTGCAAGCATGGTCACGGTCATGGGCACTGCCACCACAGAGCTGCAGCAGACCTGGTGCGGCTTTCCCCGAAGCCTATCTCTGATTGTATACAACTTGATATGTTCCCAGTTAGAGGCCTGAGCAAGTCATCAGCAGTGAGAGCCAGGCAGTGGCCCGCTCTGGGGGGCCTCCCAGGCTGCTGGGAAACAGTCGCCCCAGGGCCCCTTGGGGGGTGAGGAGTGGGGCTCCGGGAAAGAGGGAAGTAGCTCTGCCTGGGAGAGGGCGGAGGGGGTGGGGGAGCTGCAGCCACCCCAGCTCAGGACTCCAGCTGTGCCCCAGGCTCCAGCTCCCCCCAGTCCACCCCCCTTGGCGGCTGGCCCTTGGGGAAGCTGAGAGAAAGTCTCGCCTGTTCTGGATGCCGCAGGCAGGATCGGCCACAGTGATCTCCTTCATGTGTCACTGCTGGCTGTAAGCGCTGTGTTTGGTTTGGCAAAACGGCTATTTAAATAGCAGTGAAATGTGTCACTGGAAAAAAATTAGCTCATGTTTCCTTTGCCATTTCTTCATGATTTCCATTCAAAGTGTAACCACGGGTAATAAATTAACAAGATCTGTAAAAGCGACCATAGGAAACCATGGATCCAGAATTCTTATAAACTTCTAACCCATGATGCTAAAAAGCAAGGCTACTTGGGGGAGGGGGTTTGGATCACCCATACTCCAGTTTTCTTTGTGTCTGGTTCCCACTCTCGCGCCCTGCCCCAGTGGGAAAGGAAGCCCCCCACTTCTTCCAAGGGTTGCTGTGGTTGTCAGGGTGAAGGTCTTCCTTTGGAAAACCCAGAGCCTTGGGGCATTGTTTGGCTCATCCTGTTAAAAAAAAAAAAAAAAAAAAAAAAAAAAAAAGCAATAAAAACAGCTAAACAGTTACTTCTCTAACAAAGTGTAATCTCCTTTCCCCAAACTGTACCTCACCTGGTTCTAACCACAGTCCAGCTGTTGAGTTCTCAACTCCTTGTGGAGATCAGACCTTTCCCATGGGTACTAGATAGCCTGATGTCGAATTGCAGCTCAGTTTCGCAGCTAAGGACACTGAGGTCAAAGGAAAATATTTGCCTTCAGCACAAAATCCAATAAGTGGATGGATGGGAGCAGCAACCTTCCGATCGCTGCAATTTCCACCCCCCACCCCCACCCCCACCCCCACCACACACAAACCAATGCTTGTTTGTTTGCTCTGGGCTGTGGGGCAAAGGATCACTGTAGGGTCCTGAAAGTATCTCTGAAGATAATCGGGTAAAAAAAAAGCTGCTGCCAAGGAAGGCAGCTCTGAGGAATGTGTTTGGTTTGACACATGGGGGTTATGGGAGCACCGAAGGAGTCTACCAGCAATGTTTACCCCAAGGATGGGAGAGTGGAGGACAGGACTGAGGGAGTGTGTTCAGTGTTACATGCAGAGACTAAGGGAGTGGGAGAGAGGGCAGGAGCGTGTGTCAGTGTTACCCAGGGCCAGAGGAGGGGACAGAGAGGACTGGGGGAGAATTTGTAGTGTCACACACACCGGCTGGTGAATGGAGAAGATGAGAGTGTGTTGGGGGCTGGAAGCGCGGGGGAAGAATTGGGGAGTTGTGTTCAGTCTCACACCCAAAACTACAGGACTGGGGGAGAGGACGGAAGGTATGTGTTTCATGTTACTCACAGGACTGGGAGAGGGGAGGACAGCGTCAGGGTAGAGAGAATGGAAGGAGGGAAGAGAAGGCAAGTGGTAACCCATCATCTCCTTTTGCCTTTGGTGCTCTCCTCCTGTCCTTCTTCAATTATCCCTTCCACAAATATCTCAATTCCCCTTTATTATCATGTGTGACCACCCCTCGGTCTCTTACTAGATAGAAGATGGGGGAGGACATGGGGAATTTTGTGCCCCAGGTCATCCAAGCTTCAGGACCTCGAAGTCCCCCAAGCCCAACTTTTCTTGCATATTAGCCCCTGGGTAACAAGGAGGAGATTTCTTGCCTTTTTTTTTTTTTTTTTTTTCCAGGACAATCCCTTGTCTTGGAAGGCTGTGGTATAGAAAGTGGAGGCTCAGAAAACCCTTGGTCACAATGGAATTAAGGAGGGATTTGGCATCAACTCTTCCTCACTGGTTTGCATTAGGACCTTGCTTTGTTTTTGTTTGGGGGGAGGCAGTGAAATTACGCTCCATAAACTGATTTTTGTCTTTGCCAACAATTTACTGAGCACAGGTTCGCTGTGGGAATTATAATAATTTCACAAGCCAATGACAGATTAATCACACTGCATTCCAGGCAAAGGGAGATAAAGGAATGAAGTCCAAATTTAATATAAGGTGTACCTTTTTATACCAGGAGGCCCTCGGGGGAGAGTGACCCAGGAGACCTGACTTCCAGCTGCCAGAGCAAAAGTCCTTTGTTGCTGGAGCATGTTGCTATGGAACGAAGACATTGGTGTTGGAAGGCAGGTTGGCTTCCTGGTGGGACTGCTGTGAGGCTTTTCAGCCACTACCTATAAGAGAGTAGCCCTTCCCATGGTCGGGTCTTTGGAGAGTTTTTAGGTCAGGGACAAGTTGCCTTACCCAAACGGAGACTCTCAAATAGTCCTCACAAATGCTCGGTATTTATAGCCTAACTGCCCCCTTGCTCTTTTCCATAAGCCCCAGAAGGGCCCCTTAGCAGCAAGGCCGCTGAGCGCTAGTCAAGGACAACAGAAGAGATGATAACACCCTCAAACAACTTAACTTCATTCTTACCTCAAAACAACACTACTTCTAAAAACTACTTTCTTAAATTCTTTGTCATAAACAAGTGTATTAAAACAACGTCACTTAAGTCATACACAAGTGTATTTGAAATCATATTGAACCAATACGCAACAGACTTCTCTCCTCCTATCCGTCCTCCTGCCCCTCAGGTCCCAAGCCTTTCATCCTGTTCACACAGACACCATCATCCACTGCTCGCACCGCTTTCTAGGCGTGTCAGGCTTTCTTTGCTCACTCCTCTCTGTGAGGTCCAGGTGACTAGCTCCTTGATAAGTCCTCCCTGCCCCTTCTGGGGACCTGGACTGTAGAGAGAGCTCTTCCCTTATAGCCAGAGGCCCAGGGTTCTGCCAAGGCACCTGCTATAATGAAGAAGAAACATCTGCTTGTTTTGTTTACATCTCATCCAGATGTTTGGGTGCCATGTAGAAGAAGCCTGTGGGCCGTCTGAATGCTGTGGCTGGAAACTGAGCTGGGAGGCCAAGAGGGAGGGCCTCCAACTGAGAAGGGATGGGGCTGGAAGGCAGACACGGCTTGGGGATGAGGCCGTTAGGGGAGACATGGAATTGGGGGCGGGTCACAGCCGTGGCAACAACTGGAAGAAGATTCTTCATAAACATTGGCTCTGTTTACAAAGCCACGAGAGTAGGGAAACACTTGCCAAATCGTGATTTTTAAAAAATTGTCCTTTTTAGTGCTTCCCGCCACTAACCAGATGCCCAGCAAGGGCCTACTGTGTGCTCCGCAGGCCCCTCCCAGGCCGCCTGCTGCGCCCTTCCAAGCTCTCTGCACATCCATGTCCTTGGCTGTGACACAAAGAAAAGCAGTGATCCCGAGGCTCCAGCCGAGAAGGCCAATTAACAAGGCTGGGCAGTGAGCATAAATCACCACGCTCCCCCTTTTCCTGGGCTCAGGGCTGGAAAGTATCAAAACTGTGCAAATACTTGGGATGTTTCTCTTTATTAGTGATAAAATATTGGACGTCAGCGTGCGCCGTTTCATGCACTGCCTCCGACAGTTGGAGCAGTAATTGTGATGAATAGGGGTCCAGGGGCAGGGCTGCAGGCGTTTAAGAAGGCTCTGCGGATTGAAAATATTAGGATTGATTAAAGGTCAAATACTTTATAAATTTATCAGGGCTGGTTACATTTTCCCGAGGTGGGGCTCCCCTTCCGGCCTGTTGAAAAAGAACTCGGTATGGTCCAGTGCCCGCCCTGCCCCTCCTCCCCTCAGTTTCTGCCACACTTAACCTACAAAGCTGATGAAACCAGCAGACTTTTTCCTGTAATCCATGCCCTTTTGCATCTCCTGCCAGGAGACGAGTTCAGTGCAGACATCTGTGGGCAGGAGTCTGCCCGTTTCTCACTAGAGAGAAAAAGGAGAAACAGCTCTCAGATTGAAGGATGAAATCTGCTGGCTGGACTCTGGATTCAGCTCTGACATCAGCCACAGCAGGCAGAACCCTCAGGGACCTGTTATCCAGAATAGGTCTCTAGCCCGGCCGCCATGGCTCAGTGGTTGAGTGTCAACCTATGAACCAGGAGGTCACGGTTCGATTCCCTTTCAGGGCACGTGCCCAGGTTGTGGGCTCGATCCCCCAGTGTGGGGTGAGCAAGAGGCAGCCGATCAACAATTCTCTCTCATTGTTGATGTTCCTACCCTCTTCCTCTCCCTTCCTCTCTGCAATCAATGAAAAAATAACCCACCCAAGGAGCCCTCAGGGCAAAAAGGAGGATCTTTGCTGATTCTTTCCTTTGCAGGAGTGTCTGATTTCCTGTTATTAGATGAAGAGAGCTTCGTAACTCTTTGCCTCCCAGGAAGTTTGGAGTGAAACTATGTTGAATCATGGCAGCAGCCCTCTGCCCCCCTCCTTGGGATAAGGCCATTTGTTGAACAAATACATATTGAGGCAGAAGCTGGAGAAAGAGCAGGGCAAAGAAGATGAAAAAGCCCTGCCCCATGATCTTATATTCTAGGGGAGAGCAAGAAAATAAATATAAAAACTTATAAATTATATAGTTCTAGAGGCCCGGTGCATGAATTTGTGCACGGATGGGGTCTGGCCAGCCTGCC